TACTTCCATTGCCTTCACTCAAGCATCATTTTTTTCCAAAATGATGTTAATGAGAAGGGAGTGTTCTTCTTTATTTATTTTACATACAATGTAAGACAACTTTACACAAACCCAATTTTACACTTTGTTTGTTTACAAACTTACCTTCGCCTGGTTTGTTTTTCATAACTCTGCCCTGCCTCTCCAGCCTCATTTTTTTCTCTCTCCATTTATTCGTTTTTTCTCTTTTCTTCTCCTGACCCAACATTAAGACTCAAATATTTTTTAAAGGGAATAATGAGTGAACTGTATTACATTTTATCGCTCTGGGGGCTTAAATATCATAGAAAAAAATTTTGGGGTGGGTTGGCCTGGGATGGTAGCCCGGGGACACCATACATACCCACTTGATTTTTTTTAATACTCTCCTCACCCCATATTTTTTGGTAAGTAATGATGAAATGTATTTTACATTTTATCGCCTGGGATGCCCAAATTCAAAAAAAAAATAGTAGTGGGGTAGGGTGGCCCGTAAGGTAGCCTGGCTAACCATAACCCCACTTTTTTTCTTACAAAAATACACTTGTCTCACCCTAGATTAAGACTATAAATATTTTAAGGTAAGTAATGAGTGCACTATGTGTGTATTGTACTTTTTTATTGTTTTTTGATGCCTGGTTTTATTGCTAACTTAATATATGTTAGTGTAAACTTGTTATCTAGTGTTTGTATGCATTTATAAGTGGAAAAAAAGGGTGTTCCACTTTACGGCGGTAGCCTGGAACCTAACCTGCCGTATAAGTGGGGCCCTACTGTATACATACACCAATTCTCTTATATGGGTATGAAGCTTGGGTTGTAAATACTGCAGCAAGGAGGAAGTTGAGATGTCCTGTCTAAGTATAATGTGTAGTGTAAGTATTATGCAGAAAATCTGGAGTGTGGAAATTAAGAGAAGGTGTGGAGTTAATAAAAGTATTAGTCAGAGGGCTGAAGAGGGGTTGTTGAGGTGGTTTGGTCATTTAGAGAGAGTGGATCAAAGTAGAATGACGTGGAGAGCGTATAAATCCGTAGAGGAAGGAAGGCGAGGTAGGGGTCGTCCTCGAAAAGATTGGAGAGAGGGGGTAAAGGAGGTTTTGTGGGCGAGGGGCTTGGACTTCCAGCAAGCATGTGTGAGCATGTTAGATAGGAGTGAATGGAGATGAATGGTTTTTGGAACCTGATGAGCTGTTGGAGTGTGAGCTGCGTAATATTTAGTGAAGGGATTCAGGGAAACCAATTATTTTTATATAGCCGGACTTGAGTACTGGAAATGGGAAGTACAATGCCTGCGCTTTAAAGGAGGGGTTTGGGATATTGGCAGTTTGGAGGAATGTGAAGGCTTACTCAGCCCTGTAACAACTTCAGACAGTATTACCAAGGCTGGCTCCTCCTTAGGAAAATTAATGAATAGAAAAAGAAATAATAATTCACAAAGGTAAACACTTTATTATTTATTAATGCAAAGATAAAACATTGAAATATGAAGGTGTATCCTACTTGAAAGAAAAATGAAAAATGAAATGGAAAAATGACATTTGAATTCAACGCTAATATGTACAGTTATACTGGGGTGTCTGGCTGAGGTTGACACCGTCTTGTAGAAATTGTAGCCGTTGCTGATGAGGGGGGGGGGGTCACAGGTGTTGAGTGACAACCCAACGACTAGTTCTTCACAGAGTCTATAGCCTTAAATAATCAGTCCAGATGACAGGAACGCAGGTTCTTTACCACTGCAAAGATGAGGGGTAGTGTCCTGTACAATTAATCAGGTAGGTAGATCATGAAGTGACGTCCCAAGACCGTTTTCAGTCCGTCTCCTTCAACACTTCTCGTTGGTTAGCAGGTGACCCGATCTGTCATTCCAAGCTGGACAGAGAGACAGGTTACCCACTGCTTAAGAAATCACTCTCCATGATAAGTGCAAGATACTTAAAAAAGGTGGTGATTATCGAAAAGTCTTATGTGGAGTTTAAAACTGAAAGGACTAAGTTTATTATTGGTCAAAAGTGAAGCTTTCAACAATATCCACTAGAATAGGAGCAGAGGCTTTTACTTACAGTTGTGCTGGGAGCTGTGAGTCGAGTGATTACTGTTTGGCTGGAGCCCCACACGTCACCTTTCGGGGTGGGGAAAAAGGGGGGGGAGGGGATAGCGGGAGCGAGACTGACCCTACCTTAAGAAGCAGTCAGCAATCAAACTATCGTTACCATATACTCGCTCGCTACTCCTATCTGTGGAACTTTTCCCTCACAAGGAATATATTTGTATATCTTTATATATGCTTCTAAACTGTTGTATCTGGGCACCTCTGCAAAGACAGTGATTATGTATGAGTGAGGTGAAAGTGTTCAATGATGATAAAAGTATTTTCTTTTTGGGGATTTTCTTTCTTTTTGGGTTACCCTGCCTCGGTGGGAGATAGCCAACTTGTTGAAAAAGAAAAACATATACATGTATATATATATATATATATATATATATATATATATATACTTTTTTTTTTTTAAACAAGTCGGCCATCTCCCACCGAGGCAGGGTGACCCAAAAAGAAAGAAAATCCCCAAAAAGAAAATACTTTCATCATCATTCAACACTTTCACCTCACTCACACATAATCACTGTTTTTGCAGACGTGCTCAGAATACAAGTTTAGAAGTACAGTGGACCCCCGGTTAACGATATTTTTTCATTCCAGAAGTATGTTCAGGTGCCAGTACTGACCGAATTTGTTCCCATAAGGAATACTGTGAAGTAGATTAGTTCATTTCAGACCCCCAAACATACACGTACAAATGCACTTACATAAATACACTTACATAATTGGTTGCATTGGGAGGTGATCATTAAGTGGGGGTCCACTGTACTATATATAAAGATACACAACATATCCTATACTATACATTTTGAATGGAGACGAATGGTTGTTGGGACCCGACGAGCTACTGGAGTGTGAGCAGGGTAATATTTAGTGAAGGGATTCAGGGAAACCGTTTATTTTTATACAGCCAGACTTGAGTACTGGAAATGGGAAGTACAATGCCTGCACTTTAAAGGAGGGGTTTGGGATATTGGCAGTTTGGAGGGATATGTTATATATCTTTATATATGCTTCTAAACAGTTGTATCTGAGCACCTCTGCAAAGACAGTTATTATGTATGAGTGAGGTGAAAGTGTTGAATGATGATGAAAGTATTTTCTTTTTGGGGATTTTCTTTCTTTTTGGGTCACCCTGCTTTGGTGGCAGAGAGCTGACTTGTTGAAAAAAAAAAATACTATTAAATTTCGCTATTATTTAAATAACTTACGGCTGTATCTTTAGCATCATTACAACAAAGGTATAGAAGACTGACAAGCTGAGGAATTAGACATATGTTCAACATCCAGATATCTTTGTTTGAAGACAAATAAAGACATTCAAATGTTACACATACAATTCCTTATCTTCAGTACCCATGAGTACTGTGATATGGCTCACTGAATGGGTCTGAAAGCTGTATTCATTCTAGTTAATAATTTTCTACAACAGCATTTCCTACTTTAGTATCAAGGTATCCCAGAATTATTTTGACTCACTTGTTTGCAAATTCCTTAAAACATTCACTTAGCACCTCACAGAATCTCTCTCCTCTACACTTCTCTCACTGTCAGGTACGTAACATTTATTATGACTATTTTCTAATACAGTGGACCCCCGGTATTCGATATTAATCCGTTCCTGAGAGCTCATCGAATACCGAAAATATCGAAAAGCGAATCAATTTTCCCCATAAGAAATAATGGAAATCAAATTAATCCGTGCAAGACACCCAAAAGTATGAAAAAAAATTTTTTTTACCACATGAAATATTAATTTTAATACACACAAACTGAAGAAGACATGCACAGTTACATGACACTTACCTTTATTGAAGATCTGGTGATGACTGATGGAATGGGAGGAGGGGAGAGTGTGGATGGTGTTGGTGTTTAGAAGGGGAATCCCCTTCCATTAGGACTTGAGGTAGCAAGTCCTTTTCCGGGGTTACTTCCCTTCTTCTATTAATGCCACTAGGACCAGCTTGAGAGTCACTGGACCTCTGTCGCACAACAAATCTGTCCATAGAGCTCTGTACCTCCCGTTCCTTTACAATTTGTCTAAAATGGGCCACAACATTGTCATTGTAATAGTCACCAGCACGGCTTGCAATAGCTGTGTTAGGGTGATTTTCATCCATAAAGGTTTGCACTTCAACCCACTGTGCACACATTTCCTTAATTTTTGAAGTAGGCACAATGGATTCCACAACTGGCATAGGCTTCTCAGGGTTAGCCCCAAACCCTTCAAAATCTTTCTTAATTTCCATACTAATTCTCACCCTTTTTACCACAGGGTTGGCACTAGAAGCTTTCTTGGGGCCCATGGTGACTTATTTTGCAGAAACAAGCACCAAAAACAGTGATAATATGGATATGGAATGTACCGAATGTATCCTTAGATGTGCGCACACTGGCTGGCTTGTAAACGCTGGCACACAAGGGGCAGTTCAGGCCACACATGGACACGTCTTGTACGAATCGTATCGAATACCGGGTTTTCAATTGGATACCGAGGCAAAATTTTTGCGTTAAAATGCATCGAATACCGATGCCATCGAATACTGGGGGTCCACTGTATTCCAAACTGCACAATTATTGATTTTTTTTTTAACTAACCAGCCGTATCCCACCAAAGCAAGGTGACCCCAAAAAGAAAAATGAAAGTCTTTCTTTTTTTACATTTAGTAATTTATACAGGAGAAGGGGTTACTAGCCCCTTGCTCCCAGCATTGTAGTCGCCTCTCATGACACGCATGACTTACGGAGGAAGAATTCAGTCCCACTTTCCCATGGGGAGCAATTCTTGAATGAGACCTTTTTTTTATTTTAACTGTTCATGATTATCATGGCCAGAACTCACTTATTTTATGCATGTTATACTGACTAGACTCAGAATACCTACCTGCCCATCCCTGCTCATGTGAACTTGCATGTTGTCATTGTAGGGGTTGTACAGTCTTCGAGTCTGGTGAAAACCTATGTTCCACTTTTTCACCCACTCGATCTGTAATGGTACAAGAAAAAAAAAAAAATGTATAATTGCAATTCAGTAATGCTTTAAATTCTAAATATATTAAGTATCTAACTTAATGAATATCTTGAGAGTACAGCTGACTGTTGATAAAGATGATAGTTATGTTTTTGAAAATGGTGTCTAATCAAAAAATTGTGTAAAACAGAATGAAATACATATTGGAAAAAATGGCAAGCAAATTATTTTTGGGGTAGGTCTATAATATATTTTATAAAATGATAAAAGTGTAATTGTAGCTGGATATAGTGATGTGTTAAGTTTAATACAATAGTAATGGCTACAAAGACTACATAAACAATATTTCTTATCTTAAATTCTGGTTGCTGGTGTATATTGATGATTTTGAAAGGAGTGAAGAAATATGGTGTGGCCCTACTGGGCTGAGGCGGAGGTTGTGGATCGTTGGTTAAGGTGGATGGCTCTTGCGCTAATGTTAATGGTTGTACTGTAGTACCGAGGAATTCCCCAATGCAACTTTGATCTGATTTACCTTGCTCTGCCTTATGTAGCTGATGGTAAGGCATCATCAGCTGCTCCAGACCCCATTTCAGAGCAGTGCTTCTAGCTTTGTCAGGGTAATCTTTGGTGAAAAAAAAAAAGCACTGTAACTTTACCAAGAATATGGAAATGCTCATGTAACTGTTGCAATGCTCACTGTTTTTCTTAATGTTCTTCCTTTATCCTTCTCCTTTGCATCTGGGAATTAAGCTCTGAGATATTTCCTCAGGACCTTTTTCTTCGTCTTCTAAGAGCTCATTCACATCTTTCTGCATATCTTCAAAACCCTCACCTCACAATCACCTTGCCAGGTAAGCAATTTCTAGCACCTGGCTCTCAACTGAAGGGAAATCTGTGAAATTATTCACCAATCTAGGCCATAATTTTCCCAACCTGCAATTTAGTGTTGACTAAGGCACTTTGTTCCATGCACTTTTAAAGTAGCTGATGGCATCTGCATTGTTTTTACACCAAAAGCCTGGTACACCAAAGTTTGAGTCAGCAAACATTACTGCAACAAGTTTCCACATCACTTTTCATGTGTAATTACACTAAACACTTTCACTGTTTTGCCCATATATCTATGTTACTGATACCAGGATTGCTTAGGTAACTCTACATTTTGAGCTCAGCTTCCTCGGATGAGCTATGAGCAGTAAATTTTGACTCAGACATGAGAGAATACATCTGAGCAGTTAATGTGCACTATATAAAAAATAATTCTGCTCTACACAGTGCATGATGGGAAAAAACTAAATTCTGACCTTGTATTTGGCTTAAAATAGCAACTCTGAGGTGTTTTCTTGGGAACAAATGCATACTTGAATAGAAAGGTGACAGTATAAATAAATAAATAAATAAATATATATAAAAAAAAAAAGTGGCCCAGAAACATAAGTCTTAACCCTTTCAGGGTCCATAGGCCAAATTTCAAAGTGTGCACCAGGGTCCAAGAATTTAAAAAAAAATTTTTGTTATTTTTTTATGAAATGGTAGAGAATCTTTTTCTGAAGGTAATAAAACAAAAAGTACGAAATTTGATGGAAAATTGACAAAATTATGCTCTTGCGAATTTTGATGTGTCAGCGATATTTACAAATCGGCGATTTTGCCGACTCTGACTCCCATTTTAGGCCAATTACATTATTCTAGTTGACCAAATTCTTAGCTATTTCACTAGTATTACTTCTATTCTATCGATTGAGCACAAGAAATCGCCAAGTCAACTGTTTCAACTACAAAATAAAGTGATCAGAATTTGGTAATTTGGCCAATTTAACACAAAGTTCAAAATATTCCAATTTCAAAATAGGGTCCAGAATAAACAATGTAGGTATTCCTGGAACTAAACTAACATTTCCTCTGTTCATTAGTTATGTTTTGAGGCTTTACAAATGAATTTCCATTTTTTTGATTTTTTATTCACATAATAAATTTTTTTATTCAAACCAAAAAATAAAGATTTACTGTTATGAAATATTGTAACAATTGTAAAAAATCATCACCACATTTGTGAAGTATATCAACCCACCACTGGGGTATTAGACTGTGAGTCGTTTGTTTACTTTTGAACATGGGAAAAATTTAACATTTCGCTACTTTGAGCTCAGTTTCAAGCCATTTTCCAGTGCTAAAACCACCAAAATCATCTCTATTTCTGTAATATGTCTTCCATTCTATCAAATGAGACTAAGAAATCGCAAATACAACTATAAAAAACATACAAAAAAAAAAAACACTGCAAAATTGCTGTTTTAATCGAAAATCGCGGTCTCAGTTTTTTTTCTCTCATTATACACTGTGTGCTGCAGGATTTGTTTTATGTAGTGCACACATACCACATGGATGTATTCTCTCATATCTAGGCCCCAATTTACCACTCACAGCTTATCAGAGTGAGCTGAGCTCATGGCCTAGATCTACGGTTTGGACCCTGAAAGTAAAGCCGTAGATCTACGACACGGACCCTGAAAGGGTTAAGTCCATTATTTTTTCATGGACTCAGGTATACTGTAAAACAGCAACTAGAAAGCTATTAAGATAGAAATAATGAAGGTATTAAATAAGTCAGTACAGAATAAGAGACCAAAACTGCTTACCTTGTAAAGTGGTCCAAGTGTGGGACCAACATTAGTAATATCTGGGCATTTATCATCTGTTTTCTCGCCTGTAAAGCGAGCATAGCCATTAAACTGTCCTCCTCTATGCAAAGTAAAAACTAAAATGACAGGGCCAGTCTGAAAAATTAAAAAACAAAAAAATTCACTACTTTTTTAGTCAATCTTTATATACATAGTACATAACTGATGGTTTTAGAGTGAAAGGGAAAAAAAGTATTACATTCCCAGTCTTCTAACACAGCATACTTGGCTGAACTTAGGCACTTGCTTATTTTTGGCCATAAAGATAGGTATCCAAACCCAGGCAACAATGATGTCATTGTGAAGCAATGATCTCAATTTGGCAATAATTTAGTTAATGATTTAACTACACATATAACATTACTAATATCTAATGTTACATTTAACAATATGATATTTAACAATATTTGGAATATTTGCATTGCATCGTTGCATATACAGTGCCCAACTTTGTGTGCAGTGCACATGGTCAGCTCTAACCCCTCCCATGGTACAGACAAGGATGACCCTCCCTTTCCTCCTGGACATGCCCTTGTATAAAACCAGGCATTCTATTCATTTGGCTACTAGATAATGTTTAGTATATGCTCAAGCTAGCACAATGAAACCTGTGCAGTAGGAAAAAAAATAAAACAATTTGTGAACATAATAAGTTATTAACTTTTCCGAGGATACTAAACAGTGTCAAATAACATCCTGCTCACCTAGCAGTAAGTAGGTACAGTACCTGGGTGTTAGCTGACTGCTGTGGGTCTTATCCCAGATAGGATGTTAGAATATCTCCAATAAAGCCAGGCGCTAAAATGAGCTGAGGTAAGACAGCAGCTCTTAGCCTGTGAATTCAACCTTATGAATAAAAGTATCCATGGTTACATTACACATTTCCTTTCGTCATCCTTTTCTACAATCTAATCAACATTTTTGCACTTACTGCTCACTGACTTGTTTTCTGTCAAAATGAAGGAAAAACTGAGAAAATTTTACAAATCGAACCTGAAAAGCTTGCATAATTTTCTTTTCCGTGTTGTGAGTGAAGGCCCAAAAAGATGTATGATGAGATGCTTCCAGCTGTTTGTACATAGAAGCCTTGATGATGAAGTACCGAGATTTTCCACCGCTGCTCCCTCCTTCTGCACCACCGCTGTTACTGCTGCTCACTTTAATGTTGTAGTTTCCTGGCAATTTATTTTTATATTATAATAATAATAATACTAAAGAAATATGTGCTCTTCAGCACCTTAATTATTTATTCCCAAAAGACTAAATCTGTTTGGATTAGTTCATGCTTAAATTGTAACCAAAGAAAATGTTGGTCTTTTTTCCACGCACTATACTGTAAATGGAATATGCTAGCCACCCAGGCACCCAAGCATCTTAATGCCCAAGTGTGGGAGAGTGATAATATTGTACTTCTCAAGCTTCCAAACTCATGTACAACTTGTCAATTTCTCCAGATATCTTCATAGATATTCCATTGCTCACACTCCAACAGCACATTAAATTCCAAGGACCTTATATTTCCACTTATCATCATCCAAGATGTTCACACATGCCTACTGGATGTTCAGATCATTACAGGTCGGCCATCACTAATCCGGCATCACTGAAGCCTGTAGTGTGCCGGATTAGTGAGTTTGCTGGATTACAAAGTGGTTAGGTTAGAATACACTTAATTATCCTATCAATAGAGATTCTTTCTGTTACATCTTCCTCATTTTCATCATTGCTTTCTACTCCACTGGTTTGCTGCTGTGGATTTACAACTATCTGCACAGTTTCTGAGTCGGTATAATAATGAAATTTGAGTCAGTATAATGACAATATTTGAAATTATGCTAGCCAAAATTAGGGATATTTGAAATTATGCTAGCCAAAATTAGGGCCAGATTACTGATGGAATAGGATAACTGATTGCCGGATTAGTGATGGCCGACCTGTACTCTTAAATACATCTTTCACATCATCCTTACAAACTTTCCTTAAACCAACTTCCATTCACCCAAGAACTATACTTTTTTAACAACCTATTTTCCATACTTTATCTATGAAATCAGTAATAGATACAAAAACTTTTAACTCAAATGTAAAATAATGAAAATATATACAAAATTCTTTCGTTTTCCTTTTTGGCTTCCATTTTTCTTTTTGGGCCACCCTGCCTTGGTGGGATACAGCTGATTTGTTGAAAAAAAAAAATACAAAATTCTCAAAATGTGTTAAATGCTGCATAAAATACTCTTAATATCATTTATGGAAAAACCTCTTACCTTTAGAGTCTTTATTCATTTGCTTAAGTCCTCCACCAGTACTGCTGCCTCCACTACCAGTGGTAAAGGTTGTTTTGGCTGGAGTTGATACTGAGGATGGAGTTGTCATGGAAGTTTTGATGGCATTGGTAGTAGCTTGAGTTATGTTGCTGCTAATGAAAGTATTTGTGTTTGCTGTGGGGTTAGTGATACTACTTGTGCTTATGCTAGGAAATGATCTGTAGGTAGTGGTAGTAATGGTGTTAGCTGCGGTATTTGAGTTGGACTTCATTCCTGTGTTAGATGTGAATATGTTAGAGCCCCCATGACCTGTACTAGAAAATCCCCCACCAACAGTACTAGAGGGAAACATGGTAGATGCGCCAGGATTGGAAAAGCCACTAGTTGTGTTGCTGGGGGCAGAAGGGCTCGTCAATGACACTGTTCCTGTTGCCATAGTTTTAGTGACTGTACTTGGGGTAACTGAAAATTTTGTTGAAGTATGGGGTGTGCCTACAGGAGGGGTAGCTGCATCACTGGTTCGTCGGGATGACGAGCGACTAGACTGGGAGTCTTCAGAAGTTCCACCAGACCATCCACCCTCTGGAAAAAAATCTACATTAAAGACACTACACACACAAAAGGGTCTTCTTATATAATCACTAGTGGTTGAAAGATAACACTATATATCACAGGATTTTGTCTGAGACTGGTCCAAGGGGGTGATGATCACTGGAATTATCTACAGGTAGTTTTTGCATAAGCAAAAATTAGAAGTTTTTGCTTTACAAGTGAACTTCAAGAATGGTCTGTAATGACTCTGAAATCATATTTTCACAATATTTTAGGATGAATTGGTTATCTTAATTTCAGCAGAGCATAATACTTGTGCTACATGTACAATAAAATAGATTTATTCACCGAAATTTGTATGGTGTGATTGTCTAATCACATGTGCCATTTCCAGTAATTCCAAGAAGTGTAAGTACAGTGGAACCTTGAAAATCAAACGTACCAAATATCGAACGTTTCGAAAATAAGACCACTTTTTCGGACAAACTGTGTACCAAAAATCGAACGCATTTCAAATTTCAGACCACCGGGTATGGGACCTGTCCGCTGGCCCGCTCTGTCCGTGTCCCCGCGCAGGCGCCGTGAGCAGTCTAGCTTTGTTTATGCTTGAGTGAACACTAACCTGCGCTCTCATTCACGCATTTTACGATTATTTCGTTGTGTTTAGTGGTTGTGGGACTGTGAAATAAGCTGCCATGGGCCCAAAGAAACTTGCTAGTGGTACCCCTGTGGTAAAGAAAGTGAAACACCATAGATGTGAAGAAGGAAATAATACAGAAGTATGAGAGTGGTGTGAGACTTGTTGAGCTTGCCAGGATGTATGGGAAAAACAAGTCGACCATCGGTTCTATCCTGGCAAAGAAAGAACAAATCAAGGACTTCAGTTTTATAAAAGTGAAGTTCTTGCCTCCTAACACCACTCCTCTCCTCCAGCCCATGGACCAGCAGGTCATTTCTAACTTGAAAAAAACTCTACACAAAAGCAGTGTTTGAAAAGTGCTTTGAAGTGATCACAGACACTAAGTTGACCCTAAGAGAGTTCTGGAGGAATCACTTCAGCATCTACAACTCCATAAGCCTTATAGGTAAGGCTTGAGAGGGAGTGACTTCCAGGACTTTGAACTCTGCTTGGAGACAATTGTGGCCAGATTGTGTCCAAAAGAGGGATTTTGAAGGGTTTGAGGCTGACCCTGACCCTGACCCTGACCCAGCTCACCCTCTGCCTGTTGTGGACTCTATCGTGGCACTGGGGAACACCCTGGGGTTGGAGGTGAGTGGTGAGGATGTGGAAGAGTTGGTGGAGGACCACAGGGAAGAGGTAACCACTGAAGAGCTGCAAGAGCTTCATCTGGAGCAGTATCAGACCACAGCTGAGGAACTGCTTCAGAGGAGGAGGAAGAGCGAGTGGATGAGGTGCCTTCTTCAAAGATTAAGGAGATTTGTGCCAAGTGGAATGATGTCCAAATGTTTGTGCAGAAGTACCACCCTGAGCAAGCTGAAACAAGCCATCTTTGCAACAAGTTCAGTGACAGAACCATGTCCCATTTTAGGGAAATGTTAAAGAGGCGCCAGAAACAGAGGACTGTGGACAGTTATTTTGTGAGACAGGGGTCTAGTGACTCTCAAGCTGGTCCTAGTGGCATTTAAAGACAGAGAAGGGAAATAACCCCAGAGAGGGCTTTACCTGAAGTCCTCATGGAGGGGGATTCTCCTTCCAAACACTAACCCCAACTCCCTCTCTCCTCCTCCCTATCTTCCAGATGCCATCACCAATCTTCAATAAAGGTAAGTAAAAATGTTATTTTATATTTTATATTATATGTATGTATTATTTTATATGTATGTTATTTTATATGTATGTAAAACTGTAATTAATCTCAATAAAATGTATTTTTTTGTGTGAATATTTTTGGGTTTCTGAACGGATTAATTGTATTTCCATTATTTCTTATGGGAAATATTGATTCGAATTTCAGACTTTTCGAAATTAGAACTAGCTCCTGGAACGGATTAAGTTCGATTTTTGAGGTTCCACTGTATAGGGATGTGGGATAGGGTGCTGCTAGCAGTGGATTTGAATGCCAGCAGAAGGTATTCGCAAGTGAGGAGGTTGCCAGTTAAAAGATTCTTGTTTAATGTTTAGTGTAATGGGATTACTAGATATAATCTTAATACTAAATCTAATTTATTAGAACAAATGTTTCTAGTACAAATACAGTGGACCCCCGCATACCGTTGGCATCACATAACGTTAAATCCGCATACCGATACATTTTATCGCTAAGATTTTGCCTCGCATACCGCTAAAAAACCCGCTCAGCGCTATTTGTCCGAGACGCGTCTAATGTGCGGCCTGAGCCAGCCTCACATGTTCCGCCGGTGGCATTGTTTACCAGCCAGCCTCCGCGGTAACATCCAAGCATACAATCGAAACATTTCGTATTATTACAGTGTTTTTGGTGATTTTATCTGCAAAATAAGTGACCATGGGCCCCAAGAAAGCTTCTAGTGCCAACCCTACAGGAATAAGGGTGAGAATTACTATAGAGATGAAGAAAGAGATCATTGCTAAGTATGAAAGTGGAGTGCGTGTCTCCGAGCTGGCCAGGTTGTATAGTAAACCCCAATCAACCATCGCTACTATTGTGTCCAACAAAATGGCAATCAAGGAAGCTGTTCTTGCCAAAGGTTCAACTGTGTTTTCGAAACAGAGATCGCAAGTGATGGAAGATGTTGAGAGGCTCTTATTGGTATGGATAAATGAAAAACAGATAGCAGGAGATAGCATCTCTCAAGTGATCATAAGTGAAAAGGCTAGGAAGTTGCATGAGGATTTAATTAAAAAAATGCCTGCAACTAGTGATGATGTGAGTGAATTTAAGGCCAGCAAAGGTTGGTTTGAGAGATTTAAGAAGCGTAGTAGCATACATAGTGTGATAAGGCATGGTGAGGCTGCCAGTTCGGACCACAAAGCAGCTGAAAAATATGTGCAGGAATTCAAGGAGTACATAGACAGTGAAGGACTGAAACCTGAACAAGTGTTTAATTGTGATGAAACAGGCCTGTTTTGGAAGAAAATGCCAAGCAGGACCTACATTACTCAGGAGGAAAAGGTACTCCCAGGACATAAGCCTATGAAAGACAGGCTTACTCTGTTGATGTGTTCCAATGCTAGTGGTGATTGCAAAGTGAAGCCTTTATTAGTGTATCACTCAGAAACTCCCCAGAGTGTTCAGGCAAAAGAATATCCTCAAGGCTAATTTGTGTGTGCTGTGGAGGGAAAACAGTAAGGCATGGGTCACTAGGGACTTTTTCTATGACTGGTTATACCAAGCATTTGCCCCCAATGTGAAAGATTACCTAACTGAAAAGAAATTAGACCTTAAGTGCCTCCTGGTGTTAGACAATGCCCCTGGTCATCCTACAGATGTGGCAGAGCGACTTTATGGGGACATGAGCTTCATTAAGGTGAAGTTTTTGCCTCCTAATACCACTCCTCTCCTGCAGCCCATGGACCAGCAGGTTATTGCAAACTTCAAAAAACTGTACACAAAAGCTCTGTTTGAAAGGTGCTTTGTAGTGACCTCAGAAACTCAATTGACTCTAAGAGAGTTTTGGAGAGATCACTTTAATATCCTCAATTGTGTAAACCTTATAGGTAAGGCTTGGGAGGGAGTGACTAAGAGGACCTTGAACTCTGCTTGGAAGAAACTGTGGCCAGAATGTGTAGGCCAAAGGGATTTTGAGGGGTTTGAGGCTAACCCTGGGAATCCTATGCCAGTTGAGGAATCTATTGTGGCATTGGGAAAGTCCTTGGGGTTGGAGGTTAGTGGGGATGATGTGGAAGAGTTGGTGGAGGAGAACAATGAAGAACTAACCACTGATGAGCTGCTAGATCAACTTCAACAGCAAGAGGCCAGACCTGAGGAAACTGCTTCAGAGGAGGGGAGAGAGAAATTGAAGAAGTTGCCTACTTCAAAGATTAAGGAAATGTGTGGAATGTGACATAAAGTGCAAACCTTTTTTGATGACAATCACCCTAACACAGCTATTGCAAGCTGTGCTGGTGACTATTACACTGACACTGTTGTAAAACACTTTAGGAAAGTCATAAAGGAACGAGAGGAACAGGCCACTATGGACAGATATGTTGTGCGACAGAAGTCCAGTGACTCTGAAGCTGGTCCTAGTGGCATTAAAAGAAGAAGGGAAGTAACCCCAGAAAAGGACTTGACACCTCAAGTCTTAATGGAAGGGGATTCCCCTTCTAAACACTAAGACTCTCTCCTCCTCCCATCCCATCAATCATCACCAGAGCTTCAATAAAGGTAAGTGTCATGTAACTGTGCATGCCTTTTTCAGTTTGTGTGTATTAAAATTAATATTTCATGTGGTAAAATTTTTTTTTTCATACTTTGGGGTGTCTTGCACGGATTAATTTGATTTCCATTATTTCTTATGGGGAAAATTCATTCGCATAACGATAATTTCGCATAACAATGAGCTCTCAGGAATGGATTAATATCGTTATACAGGGGTCCACTGTATATGTATATTATTTTTCCACATCAACTATCTTCCAATAGGTAGTAGGTTGGTAGACAGTAACCACCCAAGGAGGTACTACCATCCTGCCAAGTGAGTGTAAAACGAAAGCCTGTAATTGTTTTACATGATGGAAGGATTGCTGGTGTCCTTTTTTTTATGTCTCATAAACATGCAAGATTTCAGGTACGTCTTACTACTTCTACTTACACTTAGGTCACACTACACATACATATACAAGCATATATATATACACACCCCTCTGGGTTTTCTTCTATTTTCTTTCTAGTTCTTGTTCTTGTTTATTTCCTCTTATCTCCATGGGGAAGTGGAACAGAATTCTTCCTCCATGCATATTGTAAGAGGCGACTAAAATGCCGGGAGCAAGGGGCTAGTAACCCCTTCTCCTGTATAAATTACTAAATTTAGAAAGAGAAACTTTCGTTTTTCTTTTTGGGCCACCCTACCTTGGTGGGATACGGCTG